ACACACACATACACACACACACACACAAAAAAAAAAAAAAAAAAAACCTGTTTTGAAAAAGGCAAAAATAGTACTACTACTAATAACAGGTCAAATAAACCATTTCCTCCCCAAGTTGCTTTAATCTGTGTTTTGTCATGACAACAGAAAAGGAACTAAAGTACAAGTAGGTTGGGAATTTCAAAATACATACGAATTCTTCTATGACAATTCAAAACTATATTTAACTCCTGTCTCTGACAATACGTAGAGCATTTGGAAAATTCCAGGCTGAACTAATTGAAAATGACAAATCTTGAATTTTAGCTCTTGATGAAGTGTGTTAAGTGTGTATTCCTGGAGTCTCTTGTGGTGGCAGAATGATCCAGAAATGCTGCTAAGACCCTAAGAATAAGGCGACAAAGAAACAACAGTAGAGGGAACCTAGAAGTGACCGCAAACCCTGTCAGCTAACTGACTGTCCTTGAACAAAGGACACACTATACAGAAAAGCAAAGCTTCTCGATGAAAGGCACTAGAGAATCAGGATAAACACACAAAAGAATATAACCAGACCCCCCCCCCCCCCACACACACACACCCAAACACACCAGGTACAAAAACCAACTCAAAGCAGATTAAAGATGTACATGTAAGACCTAAAGCCCCGAACTGTTAGAAGAAAATATGAAAAACGCTTTGGTACACTGGAGCAGGATAGGAGGTTCTGGACAAGAGCCCTTAAAGCATGGGAAGTGCACATGGCAATACACAAATATGCCAAACTAAAAAGCCGCTTCATGGAGGGCAGTGATCACCAGAGCAAAGAGACAGCCTACACAATGAGCTAAAATTTCTACAAACTACAACTGATATGTCAAGAATCCATAAGGAACTCAAAAAACTCAATTACAAAAACAAAATAAACTGGTCTTTAAATGAGTAAGTCTTAAACAGACATTTTTCAAAAAGAAGACACACAAAATGGTTATGAAAACATGTTCAGTATCATGAATCCTGAATTGTCAGGAAGACAAAAAAAAAACCCACAATGAGAATGTCACTGCTGAAGACTGGAAGGGAAAGGAAACCCTGCCACACTGCTGGTGGGAATTAAGTTCATTCTGGCATTGTTGTAAACAGTATGGAAGTTCCTCAAAAAAATTAAAAAGAGAACTGTCATGTGATTCAGGAATCCCACTGCTGCATATATACTCAAAACACATGGAATCTGTATGTTGGAGAGACATCTGCACATCTAAGGGGAGGCAGCACCACCGGCAGGAGCTGAGAAATGGCAACAACCTAAGCGACCTTCAAATGATGAATGCATAAAGAATATGAAGTTCATATACACAAAATAGCCTAAACTAAAAAAGAATGAAATCCTGTCATTATTACAACAGGCATGGAATGGTGGATCCCCATGTTTAAAAGAAATAAGCCAGACACAGAAAGACACATACCACATGATCTCACACATGTATGGAATCTAAAGTAAGTTCTCAAATTTGATAGCAAAACAGTGACTTCCAGAGTCTGGAGTTAAGCTCAACGAAGTAAATGGGAGTGAGAAGCTGTGTATGTTGTTGCATGATACAGTGACCTCAGATAACAATTGTGTACTGTATCTCAAAAAGCCAGAAGAAAGGACTTTGGATGTTTAAACCATTATCAAGAAGGCAGAAATAGATAACCCGATTAAAATATTGTACAATGAATGTGTTATTGAAAGAGCACATGATGCCTTGTTATTATATACAATGTTTGTGTTTTATGTATAAATTTAAAATGAAGTTGTGTGCTAGTAGAAGACTCAGCTATTAAAGGTGCTCTCTCAGTCAATGGACTGAAATCTCCTGAAGCCATGAGCTGAAATGAATCTGGCCTCCCTAAATGTGGTCCACAGCCAGACAAAAGCAACAACAGAGAACTATGGATAGTTTGCATTCTAGTCAAGTATGGGAATGCTCTGGGCTTTTTTTTTAAAAAAAAAAAAAAAAAAAAAAAAAAAAAAAACTTCTCTATAAAGCTAAAGTTTCTCCAAAATTAAAAGTTCACTGTGGTAGATGTAGATTCCCAGATGTCTCACCTTTAGAGGCTATAGCTCAGTAGGCTTGGGTGGGACTCAACAATCCTGCAGGGAAACAGAGCTAACCACGGGGGTGGGGGGGGTTGGTTGTATGCATGGTATTCAAAAAGGTTACAATCCAAGATGCACTTGTTCAACTGTGCCAAAAGAACTTGGCTAGTGAGAGGTCTGCCCACTTCTCTCTGAACTTGAGTGCCAGGAACTCCAAAGACAAAGCTGGCTTCCTTTTCCTTCCTTGGGCAATGAATACTATTCTCCATGCTGGGTCACTCTGTAAACACTGTGGTACTGTCCCATGGCTCTTCAGCACAGGGTACATTTCTTTCTGTTTCATCAATCCCCAAGTAGAATCACATTCATAGAGAATAAGCTCTAAACGGCAATGGTGGCTACAGACTACCCTGTGGCCCCCAGCTCTGCAAAGGAAAAACTAAAATAGAATGAATGTTATTGCTTTCCAGCAGCCCTCAAACTGAGCCCCATGTTGCAGAGACAAAAGCTATTCATTCACCAGAAAAGGAGCAGCAGAGAGGAGGCAACATGCAAGGCTTCAAACTGCTATCCACTGAGTATACATGTGCTTGGTCTAATGGGACTCTCAAAAGCCTTAAGATACTGATTTTATATCTGATCAATTAAAATACAATCTGAGCTAATGATAGTGCCTTCTATGGTAAATAGGAGTCCTGCAAGATCAGTAAAGGAGTTTACTTGAAGAGGATTGTCTTAGTGACTATTGCTGTAATGAAACACCATGATCAAAGCAACTTGGGGAGGAAAGGGTTTATTTCACTTACAGTTCCATTAACACTGGTTCATTATCAAGAGCACTGAGGGGAGGAACTCAATCACGGCAGGAATCTGGAGGTAGGAGCTGACTCAGAGGCCATGGAGGGGAACTTCTTACTGGCTTGTTCATCATGGCCTGCTCAGCCTGCTTCCTTATAGAACAAAAGACCACAAGCCCAGGGATGGCCCCACCCACAAGGGACTGGGCCTTCCCCCATTGATGACTAATTAAGAAAAGGCCCTACAGCCTGATCCTATGGAGGCATTTTTTCAATTGAGGCTCCCTCCTCTCTGATGACACTAGTTTGCGTCAAGTTGACATAAAACTAGCCAGCACTCAGATCAGAGCATAAAACTGTTATGGGGCTATGGATGTGACTCAGAGGATAGAGCACCTGCTGCACAAGGCTGGTAACCAGAGTTCAATCCCTGGAACCAATTAAAAAGCAGGAGAGAAGTGACTCCACAAAGTTGTCCCCTGACTGCCACATGCACTGTATGGCATGCGCATGCACACAAACACATCATACTGGTGGGGGAGGAGTGCATATACGTGTGTGTGTGTGTGTGTGTGTGTGTGTGTGTGTGTGTGTGTGTGTGTGTTTAACCAACTAGCTCTATTAATTGCTTTTCTGTTACTTTGAGAAAACACCATGAACAAGGCAACTTATAGAAGAGTTCGTTTGGGCTTACGGTTCCAGAAGGATAAGAAAGAGTCCATCCCCATCACATAGAGAAGAAACAGTAGTGGGCAGGCTTGCTGGCTGGACTAGCAAGCTGAGTGAGACCTCAGCTTGAACCACAAGCATGAAGTGCCAGAAAACATTGGGAATGATGGGAAGATTTGAAAGCTCAAAGCCTACCCTCCAGTGACATAATTCCTCAGCATGGGAACACCTCTTAAATTTACCCAAACAGCTGCACCAACTAGGGAGCAAGTATTTAAAAGTTTGAAACTATGAAAGATATTCCCTTCAAACCACCACACTAGCCCTACTATCTGTCAAAGATCACAATTTGAACACAGGTTCTAAACACAGAGACATAGTGCCTTCAAGACCTAGGCTATCACTAGACATGGTGGCTCATGCCTGTAATCTCAACATGTAGGAGGTTGAAATAGGAGGATTTCCCTGAGTTCAAGGCCAACTTGGGCTACATGGTGAGTTCCAGGGAAGTCTAGGCTACAAAGTCAGATACCATATCAAAACACAAAGCAAAACAAGGCAAAAAAATAATTAATTTAGTTTAAAAAAATAACCAGGCCACCAGCATTTTCTCTTTGATCTCCCATACAGAGCCCAGCCTGGGAACCACACTAAGGTGCTCAGGCTCAGCCTGTGGTGTGTGTGTGTGTGTGTGCGTGTGGTGTGGAGTGTGTGTGTGTGTGGTGTGTATACTGTCTCCACTGGCAATGTTTTCATTCCCAATTCTCTTTCTTGCTTCTGTATTTACATTGTAACACTCTGCTTTTGACCAAAAGCAAGGACTGCACAGCTTAACCAATACCAGGGAGCATTTACTGTAATGTCTAAGAGGTTAGCAGCTGTTTAGAGGGGTTGTGAGCAGGTTTGTGATTGGAAAGCAGCCTATGTTTGGAGATTTTTTTCCTGAGGTGAAGAAACATAGAAAAAATTATTGAAGAAAGTCAGCCAAAATCCATATTGCCAACCTCAAATGATTAGTTTCCATACAGAAAACAAAATAAAGATGAAGACAAGATAAAGTTTGGTTCCAGACTGCTCCACTGCATGAATCATCCCAACCCAGTAACCAGGATATTTCCGTCCACAATACCTCAAAGCAGACTCAAATGGCAATGAAATAAACTGTACTTCCCCATTTTTAATAGCACAAAGTTCATTTGAGTTAAGCAGTGACTTCATACAGGAAGGGGGAAAGCAACATTTAGCTGTATGTTACTATGGTGGACACATTTCAAACAGTATATTTTGGACCTAGGATACCTGTGGAACTACCACAGTTTCCATACAACAATGCCAGGACTGTAGTGAACCAACTGATAATATTCTCTGAAGCAAATTATTTCTGATATTTAAAACTATTTCTAAACAGATTTGCTAATTAACTGCCATAGTTCTCAGCCCCAATAAATGTAAACATTAGCAACTGCAATAATGAGATTAAGGAAAACTAAATCAATCATGGAGCAAATCATCGGAGAACCAACATTTCAAAGGCAAAGTTAGTCCCCTGATTCTGAGCTTGAGGCATTTTTCTTTGCACCTGCTGGGAAGTTGTCACAGACATAAGTCAGAGGCTATGCGGTGGATGCAGCTGGGTATCTGGGCTATGACTACAAGGAAGCCTTCTGGTTCCTCTTCTTGACATTTTTTAATGAGACAAAATTGATGTGTTTTATTTCTTCTTAAAAAAATTCAAAATAGTGCAATTTCGAATAAACTACTAGAGTTTTTTTTCTTTTTTACTTTTTCATACTACCTTTGAAACTTGTCTGCATTTGATATGTTCAGCACTTCTCAGTTTGCACTAGTCACATTTCAGACTGTCACCAACCACACATGGCTAGTGGCCACCAATTGAATCAGCTATTGTAACAAATTGCGCATGCATAGATAGGCAGCTCCTGTTGTTTCAAAGTTTTGGAGGTCAGACATCTAACACAGGTCTTGCTCTGTTCTCAGGATGCCCTCTGTTTCAGAATCCATTTTCACCCTTGCTCCGGTTTGTAGGGGAAGCTGTAGCCACGCCTTCTTAGGGGCTGGCTACAGGAGTACCTGGGCAGGCTTGTGAGGGCGTGGTGAGAGTGAGTAGGGGGGTCTGCGTTTTCGGTTTCGGTTTCTCTTTGCTTCTTCTTGCTGTACAGACTACCACCGGCTGGCTGATTCGCTCTGTAAGTAAGGCTTTTCCCTATTAAATACCCTTATATTTCTACCTGACTCCGTATTGGTAATTTCCCACTATACGGGTTACCAAAGGCAGCCTGCCCTTATGACTCAGTGCCTTCCTCAGCCTTCATAGCAAGCATATCACAGCTCTCTCAGAACCTTGCTCAGCAATCACACTATCCAAAAGTCAGACCCGGTCCCCCAATTTAAGGAGATTCATTGAACTCTTATAGAGAGTTAAGGTTAATCTGCCCATCTCAGGGTCCTTAACTTCATGACACCTGGAGGCAGAACAAACAGGAATTCAAGACCATTCTCATTTATAGAGCCAACTGGAGGCCAACCTGGGCTACACAGAACAGTTTCAAGAAAAATAAATAAATGAAAGCAGGGTGTGATAGTGCACACCTTCAATCCCAGCACTCAGAAGGCAGAGGCTGTGAGTTTGAGGCCAGTTTGGTCTATAAAACAAGTTCTAGGTCAGCCAGGGCTACACAGAGAAACCCTGTCTTGGAAAAACCAACAAATAAATAAGTAATAAGTAAAGAAATAAATATCTCTTTACCATGTGAGGCAACAGATTTGAATATTCCAGGGTTCTGTATTTGGACATATTAGGGGCAGGCATTATTTTGCCAACTAAAAGTAATGGTCTATCTTGTTGTATTTGCAGAATAAGGAGAGACAGCTGATGAGAGGGCTCAGAGTTGGTAAAGGTGTTCACCAAACCTGACTACCTGAATTCCATCCCCAGGTCCCACATGGGAGAGGAGAGATTAGTTACTAGAAGTTGTCCTCTGATCTCCACCCACATGTCATGGAATGCAGGTCCATACACACACATGTGCACACAAATAATAAAAAATGTAATAAAACAGAAATAAGAAATAAAATCAAGAATTGGAAGTTGGGGAATCCCTGGGGCTATATGGATAGGTACTACTACCCCATTCTCCTCAGCTTGGCTAGGAAGAGTAAGATTCCCTCCTTTAACTAACAGCCACTTTCAGGAAGTTTTAACTATATCCCAGTATACAGTATTTTTTCCCTCCTGCATGCTACTGACCAGTCAAACAGCATTTTAGTATGTTCTAGATCCCAGCGTGTATCAATCCTGTAACACACTTATCAGCACATAGCAAAACAAATTAGGACAGAGAACAATAGTAAGGTGATCCTTTTGCTATGAATTTATTTTGGATCCTTTGTCACATTAGAAGTACTGTAAGAGTATATGTATCATACTTTACAAAATAATAACACTAATTCAAAGAAATAATCCAGCAAGAACCAAAATAGGATGGAACTAGAAGAAACCATCCTGAGTGAGGTAACCCAGTCACAAAAAGACACACATGGTATGTACTCACTCATATATGAATTTTAGATGTAGAGCAAAGTATTACCAGCCTATAATCCTTTCACCAAAGAAACTAGGAAACAAGAAAGACTCTAAGGGAAAAATGCTTGGACCCCAGAGAATGGGAAGGGGCAGGAACTCTTGAGCTAATTGGGAGCATGAGGGTAGGAGAGAGGGAGCTGCCAGAACTAGAGGAGGAGAAGAGGAGGGGAGAGGAGGAAATGGAGGAGCAGAAATGTGCCCCTGGTAATGGATTAGTATTTTTCCCTGGTGTAAGAAAGGACTTTAAGAGCCCATCCCATGCGAAGGGATGCACTCTTGGCCTGGACACATGGGGGAGGGCCTAGGCCTGGCCCAGGACCATGTGGTGGACTTTGGAGGGTTGGGGGAGGGGAGGAAGAGGGAGAAGGGATTGACACGTGAAGCAAGCTTGTTTGAACTAATAAAAACAATAAAAAAAGAGCCAAAATAAAGTGTATTATAAACAAAACATTTGTCAGAAAAAAAATAAGAGCAGTATTTTATGTGTCAGAGGGTAACACATATGATGATTTCAAACGTATGAAGCAATTATAGGTTTGTCTGAGCACACACACAGATGCACTTTCGTGCTCCACCATTGCAGTTTCCTGCCAAGAATAAAGATTGCCACCTGGATTATGGCTTTGGCTCCTTTCCAAAGTGAAGCCAGAAAACCAAAACCTATTTGAAAAGAAACAATAGACTATGAAGTCCAGTGTGCTCCTTCAGAGAGGAGGAGTGTTGGGGTGCAGCATGCAGGGTGCCCTGTGTCTGTGCTCACCTCACCATCCACCTAGCTGCTCCGCCTTCCCCTCTGGGGTATGCCTGGCGCACCCCAGATGGTGGGTCTCAGGTCAGCCTCCATCACCACAGGGAGCAGCTCCACCTTGAAACTGTAGTTGAACTTGAGCAGAAAGGGGTT